CAACTACAGAGAGTCAACTTAAAAGAGTTTCCCGGTCTACACGCATTCATTTATTAATTGATATAATTAGTACTTTTAGTTATTTTCAAATGAAGTAATGATGCGCTTGGACGAAATTAAGGGCTAAAATTAAGGGACAACAAGTGAAACTGATCAAATTGATAATCTTGTATTTGCCCAGGTTCACTTGTCGTCCCCATTTTACCCCTTAATTTCGTCTCGTAAATCATTACTCTTTCAAATGGGTCCTAGGCTCCTAGCAACTCGACAACTACTGGTGCTAATCAGTCGGCAATTTGCCCCGTTTTCCGTGAGGTTTGTGGGGATTTTTAATTTTATCCTCCAAAAATTATAAAAATATGTAAATTAATTTTTTTAAAATTTAATTCAATCTTTAAACTTAAATTTAATTCAATAAAAATTAAATATAACTTAATTTTATCCAATTTAACTCATAAAAACTAACATAACTTATCATCAACAAATTTATTAATTTAATTATTTATGTTAAATTAATTTTTATTTATTTAAATAATTTATATTTAATATTTCAAACTCAAAATTCAATAAAAATTAAATATAACTCAATTTTATCCAATTCAACCCATAAAAATTAACATAACCTATCATCAATAAATTTATTAATTTAATTATTTATATTAAATTAATTTTTATTTATTTAAATAATTTATATTTAATTTTATATTTAAAAAATTTTAATTAATTATACTTAAAATTTTAAAATTTTATTTATTATAATTAAATATTAATTAATTATATGTGAAAAATTTATATTTTAATATTAATTGATGAAAAATGAAGATTCTCACAGGAACGAAGATTCTCCCCTCTAAAAAATCTCGCAAGAATCTACATCCCTATCATTCGTAAAAACAAAGATATAGAAAGGGACTCCCCAACCCCTCTGACCCGTGGAAATCTCTAATGCTAATGACTAGGGATGGAGCCAAGGAAGAAGAAGGGGGAGCAGCCGCCTCCATGAACTTTTGAAAAATATTTAATATGATACTTTAATTTTTATTTGTTAAAAATTTTATTTTTATGATATAAATTTTAAGAATTATTTTAAATATAGAGAAAATA